ATGCAAGCATCATTTTTGGCATTCCCAAAACTCTCAGCATGTAGCTCCTGAGCTTCTAGGTGCTTATTTCATTGTCCCAGTCTTCTAGGATTAATTTGGCTGGTGAATATGTTCCTTGCTTTTTTTGTGTGTGTCAGTCATTCTTTAGCCTTCCCATTTTCATTGCTGCACAGGAGCTGTGCCGATAGGTTTCCAAATAAAACAGAACCAGCCTGTCTGCTCTCAGAATGGTCAGCACAGTCAATGCCTCTCGGCTGTGATTGAGTGACTGCGACACTCGAAGTTTTTCTGTTGGGAAATCAGAAAACAAAATATTTTGGAGGTCAAAGAGGTAAATGGTCTAGGGGGAGTACACAAAATAGATGAAAAAATATTTTTAAAAAATAGAATAGAGCTTGATAAAACTGGAATTTTTTTTCTGGTATTTCTGTAGTGCCCTGTGATTTTTGTCTTCCTGAAATGTTTGTTGACTATTGTGGTGAGGTATCATCCTGCCTATTTACAGCACAGCTTCTTGTTTACTGTACGGTGCCCTCACTGTACCGAGGGATGTTTGTTGCCATGAATTTAATAGAAATTTCTCATGTAGATGTAATTTCAGGATGTTAATTTTGCATCATTAATAATTTCACAAACTTGTTATGCTCCCACTGAGATTGTAATAAATTCTAATTTTGTACTGTACAATTATTTTATAGGAATTATTAATGTCAGCTTTTATTTGTACTGTCCTAATTTCTGTCTGCTGTCTGTTCTGTTATGAGATTTTTCTTCCCTTTCCTTGGGTGCACTCTCCTATGACTGTATCTGGCTTTTTATTTTTAATCTCTGTCTTGATAAATCACTTCTTGTGTTTATACAGCTAGTAATTATAACTGGCTGCAAAGTCAGTCTTACTTTCGAATTCACTGTATCACGTTGTGGTTGATCATAATTTGGCAGTGAGGAACAGATAAATATTATGGTAGTAAGTAATAGATTGAGTAAAATTCTCATTTATCAAGTCTACTCTCTTAATATATTAGTTCATTAAAGACCTATGTAGGTCTCTAGAGTATCACTGACGAACTACTGACTTGGAATTTGGCATTCTGTCTTTCAAAATGTATAACCAAAGAGGTGACTTTATTGGACTGTACGTTAACAATACTATTTTTGCTGCATTTTTCTTGGCTTTGTGCTTAAAAGTCTTTTTGATCTCTGAAATGGGATTCTCAGGCTGTACATTTTTCAAAACTATAAGGCACACACCATCTCTGCAGGACAGGTTTAAATTTGCTCTACTGATGCTGACTCCACTGGTTTAGGAAGGTTGGAGTCTCTTGGACAGACTAGAGGAGTGATGATATGTGTTGGTCTTTCATGAGCCAACTGACTAGCAGGACTGACAGTGCTGTGAGGTGCATTGTAACCTCAGGATTTGGGTGTGCCTTGTGTTCATGATAACCTGAGGTTGTTTCAGAGCATGTATGAGGCATCCTTTGCCTTACAGACCGTGTCATTTTTGTGTTGTACATTAATATATTATCTGGGGTTTTCTGGGAAGAAGTAAAGCAGAATCTGAGGAAGACCTTGCAACAGAATTCAAATAGGATGTTTTGTAAGTATGGACTGGTTTCCTTGGAGAAGGGTCAGCATTCCAACTGAAGTCCGATGCTACTGTTTAGTTAAGTAGTATCAGAGGTACTAGAAATTTGCTGTTAAATTGAACAGATGATGGATTTTCTGTTGCTTTTTCTGTGGCCTTTGTTCCTTTTGTTTCATGCATTCAGTAACACAATTTATATGTGACTGATGTTGAAACAGAGCTCATAGGATAGAGACGTGATTCTGTTTTGGAGGGGAATAGGGCCTTAGTTCATTGCTTTCATTGCCAGATGTCAGTGTTTGTTGTGGACAAAGTTAAGTCCACAATGGCAGATTTTGGCAATGCATTTCTTAGACAACCAGCAGTGGCAACAGTGAAGAAATCCAAACTCTTTATATGTCTGTGAAAGGCAAACCTAGTGTTGGATCCTCATTCAGGAATTGCTTGTAGCTCCAAGTTCTAATGTTGCCCCTGGCTTGGACTTGTAATTTTCAGCATCATTTAGATATGCATGTTGATTTTAAAGAACTCGGAAAATTGCCACTTGAATCAAGGATTGTCTGAAAGATAGTATCTTCTCCATAGATTCTTGGATTGCCATTTTGCCTGCAAAGTCAGGTCAGGGGTTTGGTTTGATTGAGGCTTTTGTTTGGTTTGTTTCATTTGGTTTAGGTTGTTTTGGTTTGTTTTGTTTAGGGTTTGTTGGTTGCTTTGGTTTTTTTGTTGCTCTTCTTTCCCTCCTCAGATTTCCAAATTTTATCCTGGCTGTACATCTTCATCTTCATGGTCATCTATCTTCCTTTTATCTCAGTCTCTATGGTTAGAGATGGTAGGATGCATCAATTCTGATGCACCCTTTTTTCTTGCTTGCCTTTGCCATAAAAGCCTCTCAGCTGTGGTTGGAAGAGTGAGTGGTGAGGATAAATCAGTGTGAAGAAGGAAATCTCAGCTTCCTTGTTCCCCTGCTGAGGGAGTGGTGGGTAGGGAGGATTTGAGAGAATGAGGGAGAAGGATCACAATGTTCCTTCTTACATGTGGAATAATACCTCTAAGTTACCAAACACAGAAGTCCATTCTGAGGACAAGGTTTGTTTAAGCTGTAGTGTTTGTGTAGAGAAGTGCTGACCCTTCAGGGTAGCGAGAGGTAGAAGAACATTCCAATCCATCCATCTTACTTACTGTGCTATTTTCTTCCTAATATGTACACCTGCTGCTCCAGTACTCTTTTTATTTTTCCCTGCGTCCAAATCATATGGATATAAACTTGCTTTTTTTGTCACTTCACACTGTGTAGTCCTTGTAAGGGTCTTGCGGGGAATTTGTTAGGGGTCACTAGGAATGCATTCTTCCGGAAGAAAGAGGAGACCAAATCTCCAGAACTTTGAAATTACACTGAAATTCATTAAGGGGAAGTGGTCTTTAAAAATACATAGGAAGAGTGTCAAAGAGTTTTCTCATTTTGGTACACCTGACTCCCAGTTCCTTTGCCCAGTGTCAGTATTTGGGTGTTATGCCATTTTCCCAGCAGGTTAAGTCCTTGATTTCCGTTAGTTTCAGTAGTCAGCGTGTGCACTACGAA